CGAAGCTCCATCCTCTCTCATTAATAACAATTCCATTTGAAGAAAGGAGTAGATGACCCAGGGGGGGCCGCAAGCGCAAGGCCGTTTAAAATTCTATGGGGGGACGTCATTCGTGCTTCGGTTGTTGTTGGGGCCTTGGTGCGGCGTTCGGAGAAATGTTGCCGAGCCTGTATAGTGTCAGTTTGACCTTCGGCAGGAGTGAGTACACTCCCAGCTGTGGTCTGCCGACGAGTGTCTTGTAATACTTGGCTCAACTGTCTGTCACTGTTCCGTCCTACTCGCACTGCCCTTTGGAATTCATTCCTAAGTTAGCCAACAACAGATTACGTTCCACTTTAATGCCGTTTACTTCATAGCCTAACCGTCGTTTCAATCAGATGCCAGACAGGCCAGACTGAAGAGGCCAGCCTCTGCCGTTTCAGTGGACTCATCACCAGGCCAACCAGTACAGTCTGAGCCAGCCTAGTCAGCGGCGGCACCAACTTTGTAGGTCCGATTCTACGCAACTCAAGCATGCCCTAGTTCCAAACCCACAGTTGCACGACGTCAGCCTCGTCAGCAATTGGGCGGGAACGTATGAGTTGTATGGGTACGGTAGGAGCCAGTGGGGATTGGAGTGGAGGGGCCTATGATTACAAACAGCGGCCGAATACCCCATCGGCCATTACGGCCAGAGAAACTGTAACACACGATGTGCAGGCCAGCTGACACGCCGTTCGCTTTTTAGCGCAGCCTGCCTGCATGTACTTGCGAGCGTAATTCTTTCACTCTGATTCGGATAATTCCCCAACGTCGATGTTTTAAGTTATCATTGTATTGCCACTGGTCACCCCTCCTCCTTCGCAAGCTGCTCGCTCAATAATTCTGCGCCCTCACGGGCGCTTCGCCTTGTACCTATTCGATCTGCCTCACGTTCCTCTGCACTGACCCGCCGCCTTAACTTCTTGCCACTCGCACCTAGGCCGGATAGCACCTGGATTGTTTTCATCCAGGAACGCTACAAGCACAGCAACGAGCAACCTTTTCTGTCTTCCCCGGGTAACGGTCGTTACCAAAGGGGGGGGTCCGGGCGGAAGGGTAACGGTAACGGGCGGCCACGGGGTGCACCCGCCAGGGTGCGCCCGCGCCATCGGCCCCTCAATCGCCTGTGTGCACCACAACGTACAGGGGGGGTCCAGACCCCCCCCCCCCAATACGATCGTTGGCTTTACCCGGGGACCGGCGAGGTTCGGCCTGGGTAGTGAGCGCTACCCTGGGGAGGAGACACAATGCTCACTGAGAGCCCGCCCAACGCAAACAAAAATTATCCCAGTGCGACCCTACCTAGGAGTTGGAACCCCTAGGAAAATAGCATTAGTGGTAACAGTAACGCTAAGCTAAAGCTAAGCTAAAGCTAAGCTAAAGCTAAGCTAAAGCTAAGCTAAAGCTAAGTTAAAGCTAAGCTACAGCTGAGCTACAGCTAAGCTGAAGCTGAGCAACAGCTAAGCTAAAGCTAAGATACAGCTAAGCTAAAGATAAGCTAAAGCTAAGCTACAGCTAAGCTAAAGCTAAGCTAAAGCTAAGCTAACGCTAAACTAAAGCTAAGCAAACGCTAAGCTACAGCTAAGCTCAAGCTAAGCTAAAGCTAAGCTAAAGCTAAGCTAAAACTAAGCTAAAGCTAAGCTAAACGCTAAGCGAAAAGCTAAGCGAAACGCTAAGCTAAAGCTAAGCTACAGCTAAGCTAAAGCTAAGCTAAAGCTAAGCTAAAGCTAAAGCTAAAGCTAAAGCTAAAGCTAAAGCTCCCAGGGGACTGGGGGGAACCGCTCCCAGGGGACTGGGGGAACCGCCCGGGGCGTGTTCCACTGCCCAGCCCCGTTTAAGCTAAGAGAGTAAGAACCCTTCTAGGCAGAGCCTAGGTAGGGAAAAAGCAGGAGGAGGACTTGAGGTCATATGGCTTGGGGCGCCTTCACCCCGTCAGTGGGCCCAGCTCCCTGGTGTCACCACCCTGGAGGGCACGGTGGCCCGACGGAACAAAGTCGTCTGGTGTGAGGCGCGCCTGGGATGAATACATCGGGGGTTGGAGCAGGAGGAGGAGGAGGAGGAGGACGAGGAGGACGAGGAGGAGAAGGAGGAGGAGGAGGAGGAGGAGGAGGAGTTGAGGAGGTAGGAGGAGGAAAGGAGGAGTCGGCGTTGGTTGGTTGTAATAGGAGGAGGAGGAGGGGGAGGAGGAGGAGGAGGAGGAGGAGGAGGAGGAGGAGGAGGAGGAGGAGGAGGACCCGCGCCGGTGCTCGGGCCGCCCGGAGGCCGCCGCGCAGACCCGCCGCTCGGGCCCCCCCGGGGGGCCGGCGGAGCGGCCGCCTCGCCGGGAGGGCGGCGCGCTTGTGGATGGCGGCCAGGTCCGTGGCTCCTCCAGTGGGGTGCTCGCTCGGGGGACCTTGCTGAAGTCACTCGCTCCACTCGCGCGCCGATGCTGCGCCGAAGCCGAGCCGGAGCAGAGTCGAGCCGGAGGAGAGCTGGAGCCAAACTGGACCAGAAGGGGTCCGTTCGGCGGGCCCCAGGAAGGTCCCCCATACGAACACCTGTCGCCGCGCCCCTTGTTCTCGACGCCCCCCAAGTGGACGACGCCGACACCAAGGCAAACCCACGGCAAACCCTGAGTCCCGCGCCCCAGCAGACGACGCCGGCACCGCGGCAACCCCCACGGCGAGCCCACCTCGTCCGAGGCGGCGTTTGCCCTAGTGGCCGCGGCGCCACCTGGCGCGGCGACAGAGTCTGTCAATCAAACAGAGTAGTGGATCCGGCGCAGGGTGGCGAGGGCGAGGCCGTCTTCGTCTTCGTCGCCGCCGTCGCCTTCGGCGGGCGGCGCCGTCGCTTCCTCGGAGGTTGTCACGGGCGGCCGTGAGCGGCCGAAAGGCCGCCGATGGGGGCGCCACTGGAAGGGAAACCAAAAGATACCGATACCGCTACTCTTACGTCGGGCCAGTCCCTCTACAGGGAGATTCTCGACGAGAAATAAATTATCCCAGTGCGACCCTGCCTAGGAGTTGGAGCCCCTAGGAAAGCAGCATTAGTAGTAGCAGTAAAGCTAAACTAAAGTTAAGCTACAGCTAAGCTACAGCTAAGCTAAAGCTAAGCTAAAGCTAAGCTAAAGCTAAGCTAAAGCTAAGCTAAAGCTAAGCTAAATCTAAGCTAAAGCTAAGCTAAAGCTAAGCTACAGCTGAGCTACAGCTAAGCTACAGCTAAGCTAAAGCTAAGCTAAAGCTACAGCTAAAGCTAAAACTAAGCTGAAACTAAGCTGAAGCTAAGCTAAAGCTAAGCTAACGCTAAGCTAACGCTAAGCTGAAGCTAAGCTAAAGCTAAGCCAACGCTAAACTAAAGCTAAGCTAAAGCTAGCTAAAGCTAAGCTAAAGCTAAGCTGAAGCTAAGCTGAAGCTAAGCTAAAGCTAAGCTAAAGCTAAGCTAAAGCTAAGCTAAAGGTAAGCTAAAGCTAAGCTAAAGCTAAGCTAACGCTAAGCTAAAGCTAAGCTAAAGCTAAGCCAAAGCTAAAGCTAAAGCTAAAGCTCCCAGGGGACAGGGGGAACCGCGGGGCGGGGACTGGGGGAACCGCCCGGGCGGTGTGCACTGCCCGGCCCCTTTAAGCTAAGAGAGTAAGAACCCTTCTAGGCAGAGGCTAGGTAAGGAAAAATACCCCCCAAATACTACCAACATGGCAAACAAATGCTCAAAAAAACGTCCCCAGACTATTTTTGGACTGTTGTTTGATTATGTTCGGTGTATTTTTTATTATTAGTCGAAAATCCCCGTGGGGGACAGGCCCGACTTAACGCTACTCCCCGGACCTCTCTCGGGGTGCGTTCTGACCAGATGGCCGAAACGAAGCTGGCGGTGGCGACGGCCGCCTCCCCGAAGGGCCAAGAAGGGCAAGGACGAGGCAAAGGGTAGTGGTATGGGTACCTCCGAATTTCACCATAAAATGGGGATGCCCTAATTTTCTGGGTGGTCTGACTTGAGCTGTCTTGGAGAGTTCCGCGGGGTCTGGGCAAAAGGCCGCCCTTTCATGGCCTGTCTGGGGGGGGGGGGTCCAAAACTGCTCGTCTGGGAGGGTTGTGACCCCTCCATGTCATTACGAATTCCGGAGTAAGGACGCAAAACATCCTTCAAGAACACAAGACCCTCCGCGGGCCAAACTGAAGAACAGTCGATGGGTACCCTCCCCCAGGATGCACGATAACATCCAACACATACGAAGAACATCCTTCCCGACGCGACCTCGATCTTACACCTCGGTCCGACCGTACCTGCTCCTCCTCGGAGCTGGAGGGAGGAGGGCGACGAGGACGACGCTGGCCTCGTCTTCGCCGCCGCCGTCGCCTTCGGTGGGCGCACCTCTCCCGAGGCCCTCCTCCTCGCCAGCGGCCGAGGACGGCCCAGGAGGAGGCTGGAGCCAGGATGGGCTCCAGGTGAGGCGCCTGCCGCCGCCTGCGAGTCGGACGACGACGACGACGACGACGACAATGACGACGACGACTACGACGACGACAAAGGCCAGGACGAAGGCCAGGGCGACGGGGGCGAGGCGGGCGAGGAGGGGGGAGGAGGCAGAGCAACGAGCGACACGAGAACGACGAGGCGAAGGCTTCGCACTGCCGCCGGCGAGGGGCGAGCGGCCTCGGGGCGACGGGGGGGGTCCGCAGCGGCGGCGGCGGGCTGCCCAGCGGAGGCCGAGCTCGGCCGAGGGCCGAGGGTCTCGGCCGGGGGCCGCGGCCACGCTCTGTGGCCGCACGCGGCGCGTCGTAGGCGGGGCCGCGGCACGATCCGACGGGGCGACGAGAGCGCGTTGCCCCCGCTGCGGGCTGCACAGC